AGGAAGGTCAGGAGCTCCAAGCAAGCTGCCCAGTGTCCTTCCTCAAAGATCTTGGACAACAAATGGGGGGTAAATTTGTAGAACATGCAAAAATCATTATATAAGAAAAAACAAATCAATAAAACAAGGACAAAAAAGCAAAAAAAGAGATATTCATAGTTCTTGGAGAGTAGATGTTTGAATGTTTTTGATATCACTACACATGTGTAGCATTAGCAGCTGCTGACATAATGGTCGTAATGCATTCATCGCCATTTTGTTCCCATTTACTTTCTACAGGAGCCAGAGATCTGTCAAGTTATGCATGTGTATGAGGTTAACTGTGTTGCTATGCAACAGAATTTGGAAAGAAAGAAAGAAAGAAAGAAAATATTTGTTTGTACACAGACTCTGTCAGGACAGGATCTAGTTTGTGTGGTCATTATTATGATCACCAATTTGTTAAATAACTCAGATGACATCAGGACCGAGAGATACTTTTGAGACATTGGACGCGAGTGTGTCTGCATGCGTGTGTGTGTGTGTTTGTGACTGTGTGTGCGTGTGTGTTCACTTTATCACTACAATGATAGTTTAGCTGTGCCTGTGTTTGCTCTCACCACAGAAACAACCTTGAAATGCGACAGATGTTCAAATTCACCTCGCTGAACTTCACAAATCAAAGCTGGACCACTAATAATGAGCTGCTGTCAGTTGTGAAAGAGGAGGACTTGTGGGCTAAAATAAGCACACACACAAACACACAGACACTGACATGTATGTACACGCGCACACACACACCAAAACACAACAGCAATCATTAACAAGACTAAACTAGGGTCATACTTTGCAGCTGCTCTTTCTGGATAAGATAAGACTTTGAAGACGTTGTCTGCTGAGATTGTGTGTGTGTGTGTATGTGTGTGTGTGCGGGTGTGGGTGTGGGTATACACCTTAAAAAGTTCTGTCCAAACACAGCTTTAGAAATAGGTCTGAATAAATACATTTCATATTTACAGTAACTGGCCACCTGTCTGTTGTATAGAGTTGGTTAAGACTGACAATCACAGACTCTGACGACAAACGATCAAAAATACAATAAATCAAAGAACTTCACCTCAGATTCTCTATGGATATGGTTTGTAAATCCACAGTCGACATAAACTATTTCCCCAGTGTGTTCTTTTTTGTTTTTGTTTACTTTGTCCTTCCAGTAACACAGACCATGCACCGAAATACCACCAACCCACCACAAAAACCTATTGGATTAGTTTAAATGTGTCACGTCATCATTGCAGGTGTAACTGATTCAAAAAGCACAGTAACAGTACGTTTTTTGACCCTCTTGTTGACGACTTTTATTTTAAGAACATAGCCTGCGGGCACCTTAGGTAGTCCATGGGGGTTACCAGGCCCCCGGGCACCAGGTTGGTGACCCCTGCACTACACTATAGCATCAGGAAAAGGAAAAGTAAAGACTGACAAACTTGAGATTCTCTGGTTTGTACTAATGTGGCAACAACAAAAGTGATTAACAAGAGAGAACTGATTACCGAGGAAACTTACTACCAAATGTAATAACTAATCAACAACAAGGACTAATTTAGTAACAAAATGATAGATTTTATGTTGCGGTTTTATCAAAGTACCTAACAATGAGCCAAATGAACTATCACACTGTTAGATTTAAAGATTTTTAAACTGAAAAACACAATATATCAAAAAGTGTATTTTTGTATTAAAAAACATTTCCATTAACAATGACATATATTACTGATTTTACTGTCATAAACAACAGCCAGCTGTTAGATCTCTGTTCCTGATGTGTCTTATCTTTGGCCTCAGTCTGGACAGACAGAGATTTTATGACTTTATGATTTTGTTTCGCCCAAAGTGTTGACTTTTCCACATCTTTGCTGCTTGTAATGATCAACCACTTTATGTCAAAGTTTTATCAGGCAAAACTCTAAGCAGGGCTTGTGACAGCTGGTCAATATACAGCGCCATAAATATTTAATATGGGAAGATTTAAAGTTTTTATGAAACTGACTGGATGTGCTCTGTGTGGGTGGCTGACCATATGGTGTCAGTGCTCTGAATAACAGATGACCTCAGATCAGATTTATCTTGAGAGGGAGATGGGGAGAGAAAGGAAACAGAGATGGGGGATTCTTTGGCAACACTGTTCATCTAACATTCATGCCAATAAAGCAAACTGAGAGATAGAGAGAGACAGAGAGAGGGAGAGAGAACTGAGGAGGCTGAGAGCAGGAACATCGAGGAATAAAGTACAAATATGAGAGCAGGCGGGCAGCAAGGATTCTTTGTAAACTTGAGTACACGGGGAGGAGAAATGGTAAAGCCAGGGAAAGAACAAGAGTAAGTAAGAGAGAGAGAGAGACAAACAAAGCAACGGCGGGGGCAAAGGGGAGGGGGGGAGGGGGAGAGTGCACCCAAAAGAACACCTGTTGAGATTAGGGTTGGCACGCGACCCACTCCAACTCGCGTGGCAGCTGCACCTCACTGGAACAATGGCAGTGAAAGAGGCAGACAGAGAAAGCGAGAGGAAAGTTTGAATGCACTACTTATCCTTTCAGGTCGTGTGTGTGAGTGTTGTTTTTGTCTCTCTGTCTGTGTGTGTGTGTGTGGCATACTAATGTGTGCATGAGGGAGGGAGGGAGCAGGGGGAGTCAGAGAGAAAGAAACGGACAGAAAAGTGTGGTCAGCCAAGAAAAAGATGTTTAAGTTTGAAGCCACAATTAGGTGAAAGGGTCTCGTTTATCTTTACACTATAGAATAGAGTAGAATAGAAAACAATAGAATAGAATAGAATAGAATAGAATAGAATAGCATAGAATAGAATAGAATAGCATAGAATAGAATAGAATAGAATAGAATAGCATAGAATAGAATAGAATAGCATAGAATAGAATAGAATAGAATAGCATAGAATAGAATAGAATAGAATGCACCTGCCGTGCAGAAGTCTATCTTTTGAATGTCTACCACCTGTCACTCTTGACTCCTACAGGATGTGGCCTACATCAGACTGTCTCCATAGTGATGCTGCAGGAATTTTCAAATTAAAGGTCCGTGGTCATCACATTCACCGTGTCATTTTTCAACATTAGTGTTTGATATATGCAGTGTTCCCGCGGTCTCTGATGAAGTGGCAGCGAGGAGCTGTGTGAGTTTATGAGTTAACATTCTTATTTCCATCGCGGTTCTGCTCCATGAACACACAAATTGGAGCCCAATTACCCCTTGCTTTACTTGGATGCACTGCAGATATGAGGCCATATTGAATATAATTGTACCCAGTGAATTGCATCCAGTAATGTTGGTGACTGTACTTTCATACTAATTTCCCAGTGGTGATCCAAGTCACCTCTGCTTCTTCTTTCATTTAGCTACAGAGCATCTGACCACCCCTCTCTCCCTCTCTCTCTCTCTCCTTCATTCATTCATCCATTCAGACACACGCACTTTCATTTCCAATTCAATTCATATTTCAGTGGCATGTTCGTGTGCAGAAACGTGTTCTGTTGGCAGCTGAACTCATTACAGAGATGAGTGATTTCACACTGAGCTCATATTTTTTTTTGCTCCAAAGTAACTTTGAATTCTTTTTTCTTTTTTAATGCAGGTTCCACCTTAGCTCAGGAACACACACACACACACCACACACACAGACATTATGTAATTCACCCCTGTTAACTATTCTGGATGCTCGGTCTGATCTCTGCTACCCTTCCTAAATTCTGAGCAAAGCAGCTCAGCTCATTTCTCTCTCTTCGGCTCAGCGACGCCATCTAGTGACGATTCCACCACTCGTTATAGTCTTCACCTACTATGGCTGTTTACTTCCCATTACATCCGCACTCTGAAATTTACCCCTAATATATTAAGGCGCGTAAAGAGTTAGTATTTGGAGAATTTGTGAATCTGTTATTTATTTTTTCAGGGAAACTGATTATTAGATAAGTCGGTAGTGGGTTTTCGTGTCTTTCTTTTAACTAATTTTTAAGTTTTTTTTCCAGCAGTTTTTAAGTAAATTGCACTACATGTCTTCTTTGAGGTTGGCGAATGCGTGCGTTCACACAGGTGCGTTCGCCTGCCTTCCCCACTCTTGCCGTCCTCCGGCTGTGGAGTGCTGTTTGGGTAGATGAGTGCGCTTGCTGGATGGGTGTTATGTGACAAAAGACCGCCCAATCCCGCATCAGACAGAGGAAGAGAGAGAGGGGGAGAGAGAGAGAGGGAGAGAGAGTAGAAGTACAGCTTGTGCGCCTTGTCTCGGGGCTTTTTTCTCACACCACGAACCCAACGACCGCGCTGTGTCCGATAGACTTTTCTCCTCTGTTTGTAACGCGCTGCTGAGAAACTGTTGAATGCTTCAGTTTACAACGTGTCTGCGGTTCATAACGACCCCGATCACACAGCAGCAGCACGTTTAAAGACTGGCCAAAAAATGTGTTTATTATATATTATCATTACAAAAAAAAAGATGATGATTCGATTGTATAGGCGCATCTGTTGCACATGAATGTGTCGGTTTTAATTATTCCTCTTTATCTGTTGACCCCTCAGTGGTTCGTTTATGTCACAGTGATTTTTTATTCTATATTTTTTAAGAGGCAACACAGGGTTACAAAGACTGGGTTAAAGTTTCCATAGGGTAAAATTAGAGTATACACCGGGTTCCTATATGGTTCCATGTTAATGGTGTACACATGGGCTGGTGGTACCAGAGCAGAGAGGGGAGGTAGGCGGGTGGGAGATGGAAGGAGAGAGGGGAGAGTGGGGGGGTTCCATAACATAAGCCAGTGTCTCTTTAAAAAAAATTGAAGTTTCTTGTTGTATTCTGGAATGAGGTCAGACACGAGGCTCCTCATTGCACGCGCTGATTATTATTAGATTCCATTTCGGGCCAATCGGGCTGCAGGGGGCGTGAGTTTGGCACTGAGGCAGCGTAGCGACAGCGTGCGATTGGTGGATTTTTATCGCCGTTGTATCTGAGAAGGGATAAATTCAAGCAAGGGGGCCGGGTCTGGAGGGCTGCTTGCAACTCGACTGCAGGTTTGCAGATGGAAGGCGGACAGTGTAACGCGCTCTAGCTTTCTTGTGTGTGAGAGAGAGTTTTTTTTACCTTCCTCCATCCCCAGCATGCATGGCTTTGGTTTCTAGCAGCGGGGACAGAGTTGATGCAGAGAAAAGCACTTACTTCACAAACAGCACTTGGGAGACATCAGTAAGTGCCTGAGCGCACAGTGAGCCACTCCAGTCTGCGCTCTGCAGCCACACAGACTGTGTTCAGTCGCCACAAGACTGAACTGATTCTATAACACTGAAGGAAGAGACTGATAACACACTGGAGACTGGGCCGTACTGTCCGTGCTGGCTCTAGCAACTATACTACCTGGAAATTAAACTTTTTTTTTTTACACAGCCTTTTCAAGGCTACTCTGGACTGAAACGTGTGAGTTTACAGTACATCTCAGGAGTGAACTATTTCTGCGTTTCCCCCAGTACTCAGCTCAGACTGTGAAGAGAGGGACAAAAATAGCTGAGTTTGCTTTAAAGTGAACCGGACGACCGAGAGGGGAGAGAGGGTGGGAAGGAACGACTTCACCGCTCTCCCTCTGTGTAACTAAGCAGCGATGGTGCAGAAAATGAGCCACACTGAGAGCACCGCTGAGGCGCTGTCTTTTTTCGCCGGGGATTCAAGCTCCGACTCCGGGGCGTGCATGGATCTCGACGCCGCCGCTTCGCCGCTCTCTCCGGGCTCCACAGCCTCATCCACCGGCGGGGACAAGCTTGGAGAGAACCCGGCGTGGTGTAAAACTCCCAGTGGTCACATCAAGAGACCCATGAACGCGTTTATGGTGTGGTCCCAGATAGAGAGGAGAAAGATTATGGAGCAGTCTCCGGACATGCACAACGCGGAGATCTCCAAGCGGCTGGGGAAGCGGTGGAAGCTGCTGAGAGACAGCGACAAGATCCCCTTCATTAAAGAGGCTGAGCGGCTCAGGCTCAAGCACATGGCGGACTACCCCGACTACAAGTACCGGCCGAGGAAGAAGGTTAAATCAAGCGCCACCAAGCCGGGAAGCAGCGGGGAGAAAGGGGAGAAACTCAGCAGTAGCTCAAACAACACCAGCACTAAAACATCTTCATCTTCAAGAAAGAACGGATCCAAATCACCCAGCAGCAGCAAACCCCACAAATCACTTTTCGGGAGCAGCAGCAGTAGCAGCACCAAAGCATCACCGTTTGCCTCTGAGCAGCCGTCAGAGAACCATCACAACTCTCTCTACAAGTCGAAATCTCTCTCCTCGGCAGCTAAGCAGATACCGGATGGTAAGAAGCCCAAGCGGGTCTATGTGTTCGGCAGCGGCGCGGCCACTCTGAGCGTCAGCCCTTCTTCCTCTCTAGTGGTGCCGGCCAGCCCCACTCTAAGCAGCTCGGCGGACTCCAGCGACCCGCTCAGCCTGTATGAGGACGCGGCCAGCGGCCGGGAGGAGGGATCTGACTCCCCCGGCAGCAGCACCAGCCACAGCAGCAGCAGCCACAGCGTGCACACATACAGCAGTCGGCGGGCTTCCTCCCCGACTCCCTCCGGGTCTCACTCCTCCTCAGCCTCGTCCCACTCCTCTTCCTCTGAGGACGAGGAGTTTGAGGACGACTTGCTCGACATCAACCCCAGCCCCAGCTTCGACAGCATGTCGCTCGGGAGCTTTGGCTCCTCAGTGCTGGACAGGGACTTGGATATGAACTTTGAATCCGGCTCCGGAGGCTCGCACTTCGAGTTCCCAGACTACTGCACACCCGAAGTCAGCGAGATGATCTCCGGAGACTGGCTGGAGTCCACAATCTCCAACCTAGTTTTCACGTACTGAGTATAGATAGGTGCATTGTTTTCTGCAAGCAAAAAAATATGACCACAACAGAAACAGGGGTGCCAGGTGCAGTGGGGCAATAGTTAAGTGTAACGACACCAGACTAGTAAAGACCCACTAAGTCCCTTCTCAGAGCGCCACGAGTGCGGGGAAAGCCCGGTTTAAAACATGCTTCGCGTGAACTGTGGGACTTGTTACCAGCGTGCAAGTGGCTCGAGAGCAAAACAAGAAGACACGCACATGGGCTTTTCCTGTTTGTGAGACGCTTCGTCCCGGACTGTTTTTCAACTGAACTTTTTAAACTGTGATTGATTTGCACGTCATGCGGTCCGCCGTTCACTTAATAATCAATGTTGTTGTTGTTTTTCTAAAGGGACATTTCAAAAAAGTTTGGTTTTTTTTACAATCGCCAAGTGAACTTCACCACTTAAAGGTACAGAAACAGGACTGTCGTGCGACTTCTTCTGTTGTGATGTGTCAATGAAAGGGTTTTTATAATGGGGAAAAGAAACTAAAAAAAAACAAACAAACAAAAAAAAACAAGGTGGGTTGGTGTTTTTTGTTAAGTCGCCTTTTTCCCAAGAGCAAAAAAAGTGTAAAGCATGATAGTCTACTTCGTTTCTATCTTGTGCCGAGATTTTCTGTCAGACTGTCGAGCAGTTAAAATAGTATTAGGGTTATTTAAGTGGGTAGGTGGCGCTCGCTTCGGTTTTTCTTTTTTGGGAAAAAAACAAAAAAAACAAACAAAGGACATTGAAATAATCACCAGCTGTTGTAATTTAGCAAACGTCAGGACTCAAACGTATCTTCAAATCTGTGCTGAACTTTATGCACGAGTTCTCAATGATTCAGGACCAAAATTGTTTAATATTAATTTCAGATGATAGTTATAGAAAAAAATCCTCACCGATTTTTCTTTTTCATCTTCTGAGCTTTGTTTTGTACATTTATTCAGATGCCATTTTATATGGGAAGTTGTATTTATATACTTGGCCAAGCGTTTTTGACTTGATCTTTTTTAATTTCTTGTATACATGATCTAATCTTGTTTTTGTTTCTTGCACAGTTGTTTGTATATCTGTGTCTGTCACACTTCCTTCTCAGGCGAAGGGCTAGAGTTTTAAAAACACACAACTTTTGATTTCTTTTTATATTTAAATGTACACACCTTTTGGACACTTAAAAAGAGAGGAAACAGTTTGATTATTTTCTCAGTGTATTTTTGTACAAATCTATATAGAAAATGGGGGAATCAACAATCGGTGAGTGTGTGTGTAGCCCACTAACACAGCTGTATTGGATTTCCTCATTTTTAATACCCCGGCAGGCTGGTTTTCATGCTGCCTTCAAGTTCTCAAGGCAAGCTCGTACATATGAGTTTTATTGCCATTTTTAATACTTTTTTTGTGACGACAGCCAGCAAAAACAACCCTTATATCACATTGTTGCCTTTTTATGTAAAAAAGAAAAAAAAAGTAAAGGCACCATCTTTCATTTCACTTAAGTGACTGATGAGATGGGAATCGTGTGGACCAGGTATGCAATTGGTGTTTCAGTTCGCTAATTGGACAGAGTTTGATTGACTTTACCAGCAAAAGCTGACTAGACATCTATGATGTCCATTTATTTGAACCTCCCATGCAATATGGATGGGCATAAAACGAACTATAAGAATGATGTATTCATTTCCCATAGCACTTGAAGGCAGCACCAGTCTTTGTCTCAGCCTACCTTCTACGTTTACAGTGCTGGTCTGCAGGATCCTTAAAGACACAGGAACACATTCTTACTACAGGCTTTTCCTGTGGACCCTATGGGTTTAACAGGTTACTATCTCGAGCAGCCACTTGATTTTTGTTTCAGTTCCCTGTCAGATATCTTGCCTATGACAACAGAAGAGGAGATTGTAGCTTTAAATTTGACTTGTTTCTTGATGTTTTCATTAACTGATGTCAGAATTTTGCAAATCCACCACCAGATCGAAAAGGTTATAAATACAAAGCAAGCAAACATGGATGACAACATCAGGCATATTCAAATTTCTGACTTGAGTTCCGCAACACCTACTTGTACTGCGTTTCTCATTGTATTTGAATATATAATCTTTTCTACTTGTCAGCTAACATTAGCTAATAATTGTTTTAGTATCTTTATGGCATGGTGAATAGCATTTGTATTTCAGATTCAGGTTAATAGCTGTTGTGTTTTTCAGAAAAAAAAAGAAAAATCTAGGAAAAAGTATGGAACGTGAACTCGATCTTTGTATATTTGACTGTATCATAAAGCAAAGTGTGTTTATGTATGTTGTTGCTCGAGGACAGGCACTGTCTAGAACTGCTATCCTTAACACATCCTTACTTACATTCAAGGTGGTCAGTTCAGGACATGTTTTTTTTATTATAAATATATATAAAAGCATTTTTAAATATATTAACTTTAATTTTCATCCATCCTGTGCAATATGCTGTGTAGAATTATCATTTATTGTCTCTAATCATGCCATAAACAAAGGGCCCCAGCCTTTTTTCTTTTCAAATGAGGAGGGGGGGTTGATTCATGCCAGCTAAATTGTGTCCATTCACTGCCTGTCAGATTGTTGATATACACTTGTGTACAGAACTTTTTCAAGGAAGGATAATAAATATCAGCTGGAACTGAAACACTGTGTTGTTACTATCTCTGTCAGCAGTACCTCATAGGACAACATTTATGTCCACAATTACATACACGTGTAGCAGTAATAAACACATCACATATATCCAAACCGAACTGACTCAGCACACCACTGTATCAGCTTATGAATAGTAATAAAGGCACCACGTTATGCAAGTGAGTATAAATGTAGCAGCTGATAATAAAACATCATATATGAGTGGTCAAAGACATTAAGATGAAATAACCGTTGCAGTTACCGGTGTCCCTGGTTAACACATTATGCAATAAAAATAATTAAAAATAAAAATAAAAACCACTGTAATTGACTGACAAAACATTTGGAAAACATATCTCAAAAAGCATAGACTTCCTTCTTTAATGTACAACACACATGAATTAGTTTGTAGGAATATCACTGCAGGTTTGTCTGTTTCACTACTGTAGTATTGATTTCATTATGCATCGATGCAGCCTACATGACCAGGGTTGAGCCATAAAATAAACGCATTGACTCCATATAGAACTGATACAACTGAAAGTGAATAAATTGGATTATTCCAGCCTCTATAACGTGTGTCGCACAATTTATGTTAAGCCTTTATACAGCTTATGTCTCATGCATTCAGAATGAACTAGTTTTAATAGGAGATCCAGTGAATCGACATGACCTGGCTCAGAAATACCTCAGTCCAAAGAGCCGGGGTTATCTAATTATTTCTCAGTGTTAAGCTGTTTTTTTTTTGTTTTTCTTCTTTTTTTTTTCATTGAAATCACTTTGTTTGTGTGTTAAAGCAGGCGTGAAGTGTTTGTTTGTGGTCTATTAAGTAAACAGTCAAAGACATCATGCACAATGAAAAGCAACAGAGCAGTAAAGAGAAAACACATGTATACCAGCAACGCTCAAGCACAACCACATAGTTCATTCATCCTTAGAAATATTAGCAAGCAGTTACCTTTTGTATTTAATATTTATTCCTACTACACTATATTTCACTTTTGTTTTCACTGATAGGGGTTGTAGGGTGGAGCTGGAGCTAATTTCATCTGTCACCCACACACTGAAAGCACATGCAAACTTGGTCAGAGCTGGAACACAAACTATCAACCTATTCTATTCTATTCTATTCTATTCTATTCTATTCTATTCTATTCTATTAAGACCATCTTATCCAGACTGTTCTATTCCATCCAGACTCTTGGGCTGTGTGATGTCTGTCTGGCTGGTGTTCAGCCAGTCATGATTTCCCTTCCCCCTCTCCCAGACGCTGCCTTATTGTGGGGGAAGGGCTGCTTCAGCAGTCAGCCAAGAGACCCTCCAGCATCGCTGACAAGCATGTCTGTCTGTCTGTAAGTGTGCATGTCACATCACTCTGTCTCCCTACTCCCCTCATTGTGCACGTGTGTGCTTGAAATTCTATCCATAATATTGAACAGCCTGACACTGATAAGTGCACAGCAAGATCACACACTCAGTGTTTACCTCATGTATCAATTTTGTTTTTAAATCCATTTGAGTTTTTCGTTTACTTCTAGTTTATTTCCATTTCAATTTAGAATGTATTCTATTTTTACACTCTCTATATGCTTAATTTCTATATTTAATATAACCACAGCTATGCCTTTTTGCACTTGACTCAATACGACACATGAGGTCATTGACAGATGATTTCATTTTCTGTAAATATTGAGTGGGTAAATAGTAAAGAATTTGGTATTTTCTGTTAAAATATCTGACTCAGTTACGCTTCACTCACCATATTGTGTAGAGCGTTGTGGGCTCCAGTTTAGCAGCAGCAGAAAAGCAAGTGAGGCACAAAACCAACAACAAATTCATAGTGTGTATGTACAGTATAAACAGTTTTCTGTCACTCTGTTTGCAGGTGTAAAGGGAATTAGATATGCTGGTACACTTTGAATGTGCAGCAGTGCATGGGTCCATAACCAGCTTTATGAGGCCTGTTTATGATAACCAACCCTCGCAGCATCACATATATTATGCATATATATACAGATTTTTTCACAGCTTAATTGGCTGTGTGTAATGTGAACACACTCAGCTGGCACTAGTGTAACGCCTGTTTAGACATAGAGGTGTATTATCCTGTTTCATTACATCACAGTAACAAACCTGAGACAATATACTGTAATACACAACAACATGATATTTTTGGGAATTTCTCTATTTCTCTGCAGCCCTTTTCAGTGTCTTATGTGCCTTAGTGTTAAGTTACACTAAGGCATGGGATTCAAACTCCTGGCCCATGGGCCACTTGCAGCCCTTAAACCCCCCTTTTATTGTTGTTGTTGTTGTTCATTTATTAATTGACTGTTGTTGGTAATTTAAAATTGACAAAAATACTGTTGCATTATACAGTATTTATATTAATCAAAATTATTTATATGTATAGGTATTTACAGGGTTTTATTTTCTTACTGCCAACCGTACACTAATGTGATCCCCCTCCGCCCCCCCCCTCCCAAAAAAAAAGACTGCTTGTCACAGTCTTCTCCATTTCCACCTGTCCTGTTCCTATCTGCCCTGTGTTTCTTGGTTCCTGTGGATTCCGTTGCTGGAGGTATTTAAGTTTAAATAGTGTAAATAAAATTCCTGAAACTGATGTCTGCCTTTTGAGTACTGCATTTAGATTCCTGACTCCCACTGCCTGTGACCCGGCTGTGTGAGACTCTGCTGAGTTCTCCGCCGGAAACATGCAGGCAGTGGCCAGGGGTGAGCAGAGCAGAACAAACTAACCACTGGAGTCAGTGGCCCAGTCAAACCACAGGTGGTGGGGGAGAAAAGCTCCTCTGGAGTGCAGTGAGAAAAGCCCGACTGCAGCTGTGAATATCCTGTCACTTCTTTAACACATCAGGATCACTTTTCATTTTTGTGGTAATGTGGTAATTTCTACTACTTTGATTAAAACTGGATTTTCATAGTGCTGGGGTGTTTAAAAAAACATAATTATAATGGAGTGTGTAAACAAGATAGATGGATGGATAGCTAGATAGATAGATAGATAGATAGATAGATAGATAGATAGATAGATAGATAGATAGACAACTATGATTACTGTGTCCAGTTCTTACAGACCCATGGTGAATAGCTTTTCAAGCCTGTCTAGCAATTAGTTTCACTCAGTCCAGTCAGTAGCCGTGGAGTCCAAAAGCCAACAGTCCAATATATACTACATGCCAATGTGTCCCTATAGGCACTACAGTGTACATCTCACCTTAAATTGCTCCCTGGTGTCTGCACTGAATGAAAGATGCGTGGAAAGAAGGAGTAAAAAGTCCAGCAATGTAACATAAAAGAAGAACATACAACAGTATACATGTCTGGTTTAACTGGGGCTTTTTTGAAGCAGCAGTAAAAACTGACTGGAGACAATGGCTGCTTTATACAGTGTATCAGGAGGTTTATCAGCACTGCTGCGTCACTCGGTTGCATTCGACTACACTGGCCGTTTCTGTCAGAAGTTTGCATGTTCTAGACATGTGTGTGTGTTTGTGTGTGTGTGTGTGTGTGGGGGGGCACTGTCTGGGGGGACTTGATCTTCCCCACCACCAATAAAAACAAAAACACCTCATGTTCTAAAGTGGAGACTCTGAGTTGACTATAAATGTGACAACAACAAGGGGCTACGATTGGACACACCTGTTATTAAAGTTAAACAAGGAACATCTTGGCCAACATTGTAATTCTGGTTTATTGTTTTTGATCATGGCAAGTTTTTGTTAACAACAGACAACAACCGAGTTGGAAATTGTATCCAGTGCATTTTGGAGCAACTCTTCTTCTATTGTCTGCTCCTTTGTTCAAGTGCTGCTGCTGCTGCTGCTGCCCAGACACAATGGCAGTCTACTGACAGATACAGCAAGCAGGAAAGTTTTAGTCATGCACAGCATACAATTTATAGCAAAATAGGATTAGGAATATATTTTTGTTTTTGAAATATAGTGCATGTAATTAATGTGCTTATTTTTTAAACAAAGTTGTTTTAAAGTTGTGATAGATAGATAGATAGATAGATAGATAGATAGATAGATAGATAGATAGATAGATAGATAGATAGATAGATAGATCTGTGATCGGACATACACCCTCGGTCCATCTATATTGTTGTGTACATATAGTTGTTTGACTTTGAGAGGGCGGGACTCTTTGGAGAGCGAAATGATCTAGGCGCGGCCAAAAGGAGCCCCATCCATCTATCACACGTGTAGACAAAGGGGGACTCCACAACACAAAGCTGGATGTGCCCTCTCAAACTTTTTTTTTCCGCGACGCGCGACGACTCGCTCAGAGCGCAGCACCCACAGGTGAGTGGTCTCCCAGCGCCGGGCCACGGCAGCGTGCGCACTTGGAGCCATTTTTGAATTCATTTCCAGTTAAAAGTTGCTGCTGTAGTTGGTGCGTCAGCGCTCAAACTTGAGCACAAAAGCAGGAGAGAGAGAGAGATAGAGAGACTAAGGAAAACATGGGCAGCGAGGAGAGAGAGAGAGCGAGCGAGAGAGGGAGGGAGGCAGAGAGAGAGAGAGAGAGAGGAGCGGTCTCCTTTTCCTTTGTCTGATGCGGGGCGCTTTGAGGACGGAACTTGATGGGATGCTCAGACACGCATCTTCATAACGCTCACCAAAATGCGCCAAACGACACACACAGAATTAATTGAGGGTGAGCTGAAAATGAGGTGAGATGGAGTTTGTATCGCTGCCGTGTTTTTGTCTCTTGGGGATGTTGCGGCGCACCAGACAAAGTAGCTGCCTGTCAGAAGTTTGCGGAGAAAAGGATCCTTTACGCACGCCGGGAAAATGAGACAAAGTGACAAGTATCGGTCTATAAATACTTTGAAAATACTTTTCTTTCCTTATACAGTGAGTGGACCGTCCGTTCTGCGCCTAACTTACCAGACCATTGTTGTTGCCTGCTCAGAACAATGCAATCAGGTGTAAAGACTCCCCAGAAACTAAAGGAGGACTGAGAATTAAAGTTGCTGCCGGAGTGAGC